CCCACTGCCCCCGTGGGGGGTGGAAGGCCAGTGGGGGCGAAGTCACCACTTTCGCTCCGTAAGACGCACAGAGTTTCTACCCCTCTTTTTTGGGGGGGAAAAGTACGTCTTATCGTGCAAAAAATACGGTACATCTTAAAATATCAAAGTACTTAAAAGTAAGAATATATTAGAGAAATTGAATTTCTCATCCTTTAACCATAGTAAGAACACACAGAGAAAATTATTTTTAAGCCAAGCCAGTATAACTCTATGGAGGAAAATCCACGTTGTCCTCTGCTCTCTGTGTGTGTGTAGCATGGCATGCTGTCTTGCAATATAATGCTCCGTTTCTGGCTATTTTTCCTGGCCATTATTTATACCCTTATCGCTCCATCATCAGCTATCAACAATCCTTTCTGCTGGGCCTGGAGGTACAGAGACCTGATACACCAATATAAATTTTATAGCAGGAGTTGTTCCTATTGTTCCTGTACCTCTTGTAACTCCAAATCTTGCAAGCTACCAATATAAGAGCAAATATCCTTATGACTAAAATTTTGCAAAGCCTGGAGAAATAAAGGTGTGTAAAATAAAGGCTGGAGAAGCTCTATACAGTCAGCAAAAACAAGAGCTGGAGCTGATTGTGGCTCTGATCATGAGCTTCTTATAGCAAAATTCAAGTTTAAACTGAAGAAAGTAGGAAAAACCACTGGGCTACTCAGGTATAATCTAAACCAAATCCTTTATGAATACACAGTGGAAATGAATAATGAAATAAAGGTGTGTAAAATAAAGGCTGGAGAAGCTCTATACAGTCAGCAAAAACAAGAGCTGGAGCTGATTGTGGCTCTGATCATGAGCTTCTTATAGCAAAATTCAAGTTTAAACTGAAGAAAGTAGGAAAAACCACTGGGCTACTCAGGTATAATCTAAACCAAATCCTTTATGAATACACAGTGGAAGTGAATAATAGATTTAAGGAATTCGATTTGTTGGACAAAGTGCCTGAAGAACTATGGATGGAGGCTCGTAACATTGTACAGGAGGCAGTAACAAAAACCATCCCAAAGAAAAGGAAATACAAGAAAGCAAAGTGGCTGTCCAGCAAGGCCTTACAAAATTCTCTATAATACAATAGTGCTGGTCTTTATTTCAAAGAAGCAGATCAGTTCTTGCATTGTATTATGCAGGATTTGCATCCTTAGTTAAAATGGCCCTAGATATGCATCAGTGCACACAAAAGCTTTGGAAGGATTGTGGGGTTTATCAATTTTCATCTCTTTGATACCAGTGTAGTATAGTGGATAGAATGAGGTACTAGGACTTGGGAGCCCCAGGGTTCAAATCCCTGCTCAGCCTTGGAATCTAGCTGGAGGTGTGGAATTGATAAGGTAAAAAGGCAAAGGTTCCCCTTGACATTTTTAGTCCATTCATGTCCGACTCTAGGGGGCAGTGCTCATCCCGTTTTCAAGCTGTAGATCTAGCGCTTGTCTGAAGACAGTTTCCATTGTCACATGGCTAGTGTGACTAGGGAACACCGTTTTACCTTCCCACCGAGGTGGTACCTATTTATCTACTCGCATTTGTATGGTTTCAACCTGCTAGGTTGGCGAGAACCTGGGACAAAGCGACAGAAGCTCACTCCGTCGCGTGGATTCGATCTTATGACTGCTGGTCTTCTGACCCTGCAGCACAGAGGCTTCTGCAGTTTAGCCCACAGTGTCACCACGTCCCAGGTGTAGAATTGATAAACCCTTCCTCAAATATCTTACTTACCTTGAAAGCTCTATTAGGGTAGTACAGTATGTCAGTTCTAGAGATGGGGGTATTCATATATGAATACGAATATCCCCACACAGGTGGGAATAACGAGGGTCTGGCCCCATTGGACTGGACTGTCCACTCATGATTTTGCCACTGCTGCCGGCTCCACAGAGGCTTCCTATTGCACTGTTCTCCACAACTGATTAGCAACTCTCCGACCTAGCAGAGAGGCTTATCATCCTGCCTCCTGCCAGGACTGGGTAATCGATTGCGAACAGCGTGATAGGAAAGTTCAACGAACTCGCGTTAGCAGCAAAATCATGAATGGACAGTTCAGCCACATTGGGCCAGACCCTTGTTATTTCCATCTGTGCTGGGATATTTGTAAATGAATATGAATACCCCCATCTCTAGTCAGTTCCAATTTGATGGTACATAACAAGGTATGATAGTACAGTGCTACAAGGAGGAAGCACATATCTACAGACATTTATAATACATTCAGGGCAAACTGAAACAGATGTAAATGTTGCATATCATTATATCTGTGGAAATATTACCTTAAGGATACCTTTCATTGCAGTAAATGACAAAGGTGCCATTCATTTTAATAGCAGATATCAGTGGTTCTGTATCAATTCTTCTGAGTTGCATAAGATTTCTGGTAAAAACTGCTCCATATACCATGTGATTTACTATGTGCTGCAAACTATTTTAAAGTAGTATTTGTCATTAATTCAGTGACTTAGTAAAGCAAATGTAGTCTTAATCTTAGACTTAAAATGCTGGTTTCCTGATTTTTCTTTTTTCAAATACCAATTCTGTCTAAGTAATCATTTTTGCATGTATGCTTTTTATTTCAGGTATGATTACAGATCTTTTCATAGATAAATTTAAATTCAAAGGTACTAATGTGAAAACCAAAGTTCCTCTTCTCCTGGAAATTTTGGGAAGCTACGATCAAAATGCATTGCTTGCCTTTTTTGATAGTGCTGCTTGATGAATGGAAACAGCAGTGAAATTTCTCTAAAAAGAAGATAATGGAGTCTAATCAGAAAACGTGGACCTTCATTCACATAATTTTAAATATATTACAATACCTTTTTATTTCTGTTGCGTTAAGCAGATCAGATGGGGGTCTTGTGCTTCTTTTAATTAGGCATTATTTTAAAAAAGGCTGGTAGCGAGTATCAAGAACATCCCCCAGGTGAAATCATATTCATGATTAGCAGCTGACTGGTTGAGGTAGCAAAAGACATATACTTTAAATATATTTTATACCAAATAATTTAGAGAAAAAGTGGAAAATATTCTGAATTTGTTAGCTTTTAAAGATTTATTTTTGGATTCTATAGTCTCTATATATCAAAAGTTAGGAAGCCTGAAGATTCTGAATCTAGCTTTATGAAATTTTGGACAACTTCCTATATATGGCACAGCAGCTTAGTGCAAATTAAAGTAGAATGTGCACTGCTTTGAAGTCACATGGCTGAGGGAGAGAAACAGCCGTACTCCCAATATCCATCCCAGCACTGTTGGCGCTCAACAGTCATGGGCTTGTACCCCAGGTCACCCAGCCATAGAAACCTAACAATTGCTTATGGTAATGTGGCGGCACCTTATTATGCTTTACTATTTCATCCTATATATAAGACACAATCTGCCAGATACTGTTGGTATTTAGCATTGTATATCCTATTGTTTATAGATATGTATATAGAAAGGGAGTAAGTGCTAATTTATTGAAAATATAATTTTTGTTCTATTCTAATTCATAAAGAATTTGGTAAATAAAATTTCTAAAAATTATAAATATCTTGACTACTGGATGTGATATAGTGAGTATTAAAGTCAAAATAATATTGCTATGGGGGGAAACAGTATACTGTGCACCATCGTTTACATTACAGGCAGCAAATGCTTGTGACACTTAAATGTGTAGCCACATGCCTCTGCAGTTGTAGAAGATAAAACATTCAAAGAACTGTATTTTCCTACTCAGAAAATCCAGCATTTCCTCAGCACTATTATCAGATGTTCATTTTATTGTAGTAAAAACTCAACAGCTGTCATGATTTTTAGATAGCCACTGCACTGTCTGTTTAAAATTAAACACGAATGCAAGAAGCTATAAAGTACATAATAAGCTCTGGAAATACTGATTAGATGTTAAAAAGCGAAACACTGCTTAGAAACTCTGAGCATAATATAAAATATCTGTACAGTGGTGCCCCGCTTGACGACGATAATGCGTTCCAACAAAATTGCTGTACAGTGAAATCGTCGTCAAGTAAAAAAAACCTCATTGGAATATAATGAAAACCTGTCAATGCATTCCAATGGGGGAAATACCTTCTCGTCCAGTGAAGATCACCCATAGAGAACCACCAATCAGCTGTTTAAAATCGCTGTCTTCCGAAGCTTCTGTCCGGAAAACAGCCATTTTGAGAAGGGAGGGAATCCATTTTGTGAAGGAAATCCATTTTGCGGAGCCGGAAAAATCATCATTTAGCGAACAAACAGTTCGCGAAGCAGGCACCTAATCAATGTAAAGCGAATTTCGCCCATAGGAACCATCCTATTGCAAAAAAGTTGTACAGCGATTCCGACATCAAGTGGGGTAAGCGTCTAACAGGGCACCATTGTAATCTAGTGGAGATTAAGGAGTGGAAGGAGGTGAAGTGAAGAGATACACCAGGAACACCTTCCTTGACAGAGTGGACAATGTGTGTACCCACAGTTTAATCATATCCTTGGCCAAGGCATACCCAAATCTGTAAAAACCACAGCTCACACTTTCAGGTAGAACACCCAGGAGGAAACTCTGCCTGTAGAAAGTTGCATGGCCACCAAATGAAACAAACCAAAAATACTGTTTCAGGTAGAACACCCAGGAGGAAACTCTGCCTGTAGAAAGTTGCATGGCCACCGAATGAAACAAACCAAAAATACATGCGAGTAGCCTTCCCATTTTTTTACATAGACCACAAGATTAGTAAAGTTTATTCTTAGCATCAATTCTGTAAAATACGTTGGACTGACAGACTGGTTTCTCCAGTGAACTCCACAGCCAACCCAGATGACAATCTCAGAACTACAGTGCTGGATGGGACTCTATGGATGATCAAGTCCAGCTCCTGTCAGGAATACATAGTGGGGGACTGAACTTCCAGCCTTTAGTTCCATAACCAGATAGATGCCTAAACCACTGAGTTATCCAACAGGTTTTTTTTAAAAATGCTCTTGCTGGTTAATGTGGTCAAGACAGAAACAGCTAGGGACCCACACATAGACTCGTTTGAAATGCACAAACCAAGACAAAATGCCTAGAATCCCAATAATGCGTGCAGTTTGGATTCCTCTGTGTACACAGATTTTTCATACCTATTTCCAACAGCCCAATTTTGTGAAAAAACAGCTTTTCTAGCTTGGTATAACAATGAGCAGGTGATGACAGAAATATTAGTTACCCTTTTCTGTTCACTTATGGGGGAGGGAAGCATTGAGGATCATTCTTCTTGCGGATTGGATTGTTAAGAGGCTTTCACCAAGTGCCTAGACTTTCCCTGAGGTACAAACAGAGAAATATGCCTCTTTTCACCCCAGAAGAAAATAGAATCAAAGAGCAGTTTTGTCCGTGTGTCACTCTGGCTATCATCCTACTTGCCTGGGCACATGTGTAGCCTGCATTATTAACTTGTAAACCGCCCAGAGAGTGCTTGAAGTATTATGGGGCGGTATATAAGCAGCACGCTTTGCTTTAAAAAACATAACATTACGCCTGTCTAAAGATACTGGTCCTTTTGCAGGACTTCTGCAAAGTTTCTCTCTCTTTTCACCCACTACAGTGGGGTCTCTACTTAAGAACTTAATCCGTATTGGAAGGCGGTTCTCAAGTCAAAAAGTTCTCAGGTCAAATCTGCATTTCCCATAGGAATGCATTGAAAACCATTTAATCCGTATCTGCTCTTTTCCGTCCATAGAAACTACAGTACTGCTCCCAGGAGGCATATAACATTATATTTAAACATATTTAAGATATTAGATAAAAGCATTATGGAAAATAGGCTTAGAAGCAACAAAATGCGAACCATGCCTGCAGGGAAAAGTCTTCACCTGCTTGCAAAAGGACAAGCAAAAGGGACCAGCCTGGCCTCCAGTGGGAGGGAGTTCCGCAGTCAACGACAGTGACTGCCCTTTCCCGCGTCCCCACCAAACGCACCTGGGAGGGTGGCGGGACCCCAAAAGAGGCCTCCCCTGGTGCTCGTAAAGCCCGGGCAGGTTCATCAAGAGAGATAAAGGGGGGTTCTTGGTGGGCTGGATCCCGGATTTTATCGCGGCTGACGCTCTCCTCAAGGCTGGCTCCCCACGCAGATCGAAAAGGAGCCTTCCCGCCTGAAAAGCGGAGGCTTAATCAAGAAACCCGCCTCGAGGCTGTCCAGGGAAGAACCTCACCCGGCCTTTCCGACAATTCCCGCATCAACAGAGGAAACAACTGCCGCCCGCTGCCCTCACGTGATCTGAGCCGCCCAATCCTTTCTCTCCTCCCGCCCACCCCTTCCAGGGGTATATTTTAATCCCAAACCCGCACTCTCGGCGTTTCTCCTTTCCTCAGACCTTTTCGACCCAACCCGGCACCCGTGGCGGCGGTGACGTCAGGGGAGCCGCTCGCCCATTGGCCGATTCAATCGTCGCGGGCTACTTGAACGGCGAAAGCGGAGCCGGGCCCCCGAGCGAGACGCTGTCGCCAGAGGTTCCGTTTCATCCCGGCGGCTACCGATCCCGTCGTCATGTTGGCGGGCTCCGCGGTCGAGGTCTCGGATCGGGAGAACCAGGAGAATGTGCCGCCGGGGACGAAGGATGCTCCCCCGTTTACGGGCGCCTATGGGCAGCGGCTGGCCCTGGGGCTGCTGCAAGCTAACCAGGGCGGCCCGGTCCAGCCCCAGGTAAAGGCGCGGGGCCGGAGGTGGTGTTTCGCTCGGCCCTTTTTCGGCTCTCGGAGCGGAGGGAGGAGCGGCCTCTTCGTGCTTGAGATCTACGGCCCCCACCTCCGCCATTTTAGAGTTTGCTCGGTCTTTCCCGCTGCCTCGGTTCCCATCCGTCCGTAGTATCTCTGCTAGGAGATGCTCTCTCTCTCTCCTCCCCCCCGTTCCCCACACTTTAATTTTTGGAAGCTCTTAATTAAGAGATGAGGGAGGCCGAGCTGGCAGGGTCGTCCTGTTTCCCCTGGCCTCCCCTTTCTGACGCCAGGGCTCCTTCTGGGGCTTGGCTTTTGAGCGAGGCTTCTTATTCCGGGGACGGAGAGGGATAGGAGCGAACAAGATGGCCCGGCTTGGAGAGCAGGAAGACCCGGCTTGATCCAGATAGGACAAAAGGGAAGTTGGCGCCCAGGGCTGTCCCAGGGAGAGCGCCAACCCGTGTCGCGCTGCTGCCTCGGACAACCGCCATCGACGCTTCCTATAAAACGTGTCGGGCATCCGTGGTGGTGGTGATGATGATGATAAAGGTGGAGATCTTTAGCACCCTAAGGATCTCCCTGATTAGGGATTAGCTCTTCACATCTGGACCTTAAATGAGAACATCTGCATAATGAGGGGTGGGCATTGGTGGCCCTTCAGAGGCATTTTGGGGAGCCTGCAACCCCCAGCAGCCTTACAGGGCAAAGCCAATGTGAACCATTATGGGAGCTGCAGCCCACATAAAAACGTGTGGAGGCCTACAATTGCCTGTCCCTTATTTAAAGCAAAGCTGTTCCAGCCTTCTGTCTTGGAGCAAAGGATGGCATGACTTGTTCTTTTTCTGCTATATGCCCTTAACTCTACTTACAGTGAAATAGGTTTAGTTGAGAGAGGTTGCATGGCCTCTGTTTTCATGGGCAATGATTCGAACCAGAGTTTCTCACCCCTAATCTTAAGTGTGTGGATGTCAGTGGTCAACTCTCTTTGCAGGTTCCTCTCTCTCAAATACCCTGGAGTACAAATGATGAGAACTACGTTGGTGTCCCTTTTGGAAAAGTGGGGAGTAAGCAGCCTGCCTTTACAATCCATGTGGATGAACCTGAGGAGACAAGACAGAAGAAGCCATTATCCAGAAAGACATTGTCTAGTGAAGAGGCTCTAGGCTTGAAAACAGCAGTTGTTTCAATGGGAATTAGGAAACCACTGACGCCTATAGACAATCCAATGGATCTTACTGCTGGTGAGAATGTTCCTCCTCCAGCCTGAATATGCTGAAATGGTTGAACATGTTGAACAAGTTTGTTACATTTAGACTTTGCTAAACAAGTTACCATCTTGCCAGTACATTTGATCAGTTTTGCAGTTTGCTGTTTATAGGTGACATTGAAGCTAGTCAATTCATACAGTTCAAAGCTAGTCAATTTCAGCTGTACCTAAAGTTCCTACTCCTTGTAAAGAAAACCTTAGTTGACCTTCTCAGACACTTCTGACTGACTTGGTTTCTACTGCTATGTCTGTTACACAACATAAACAGGAACCATTTTTTTAAAAAGTCAGCTGCCTAAACAGGATTATATCAGGCCAGACAGCATTTCGTTTTAGAACATAATTTGAAACTTAAACCAGGATGTTTAAATTGTCTTTTCAATAGCAAACTGGATCATATGGATTTCGAACTTCTGGGAATATAGATTTCCCCAGATATTATGAATGTGTGTACTTTTGCAACTATTCTCTCCAGTATATAGTTTGTCAAGTATCAGCACATGATTTGTGGGAGTGGGGAATTCTTTCCTGCAGATATGTATGCAAAACCAGAGGACTTCAACAGAGGAAAATTGCTTTGAATTGACTCCAGTCCCCTGTTCATACTGGCCTCTGATTCTGCTTGCTGCCTACTGAAATTGGCTTGGATTTACATGTACTCAATGTCCTTCTGTTTCTTATTGCTGGAATCCTTTTTAAAGCCAGAGGGGCTTCCTCTCAAAGAATGTGAATGTATCTGTTGCTTCTGAGAGCCACAAGCTGAGTCTGTATGGAAAATAATAGCAAACTGAAGTTTTATCTCCAGGTTGAGGTGGGGACTTCAGGTTACTTATATGTCGGACAAGAAGGATGAAACAGAAGTGCTTGAGATTGCAGCTAATGCCAAAGTGAGAATTAAAAGTACTTTTGGAAAAATTGCTTGGAATATAACTCCCAGAGTTAGCTTTACACACACAGTTTCACAGAAACAACTGCTTAATTTTCCTATAATTCATTTTAGGGTCACCAAGTATTATGGATATGTCAATAGTCCAAGAGGGGGAACAGAGAATTAACGTTAACCATGTACCAGATTACATTGAAGACATCTATAAATATCTTAGGGAAATGGAGGTAAGAACTGTTTATATAGGGTGTGAGAGGATGCTGCCTAATTAATCTCAGGATTCTCTTTATACAGTGGTGCCTTGCAAGACAAACGCCTCACGGGATGAAAAACCCCACAAGACGAATGGTTTCTGCGATTGCTATGGTGCCTCACAAGATGGCTTCTTCTATGGCCATGCTTTGCAAGACAATTTTCCCCCCAAGACCGATGCCTCGCAAGATGAAAAAATTTCATTTGTCTTGCGAGGTTTCCATAGAAATGCATTGAAATGCATTCCTATGGGAAGCCGCTTTTCACAAGACAGCGCTACTCGCGGAACGAATTACATTTGTCTTGCGAGGCACCACTGTATGTCTTTCCCTGGTTATGTAGTAATAGAGGATTCAGATATCTAAGGCCATTGCCCCATTTTGCCTGCATGTTTTGGAGTTTCAGTGGTTTATAGATTAAACTTTGGAGTCTAACAGGCAGTGGTACTAAGGCAAAGATAGAGTATGCTAGGACAAAGTCTTTTTAAATTTTATTGTAGCAAATCCTTTTGTATAAGTAAGTCTGTAATAATTAGGGAGTAGTTTTAGGGCAATTTATTCCTACTCAGGTTTGTTGTATATAGAGACCCATCTACTAAAGATGGTTAAATCAATTATTGGTGCTTATTTGGTGCATGTTTCTTCAACGATGAGAGCAGAAATAAAAACTGGTGAAACTAATGAGGAGTCCATTGCCCCTCCTCCCCTTTCATAGTATCACTTGCCAGACACCTCTTAGCACAAAATCTAAGGGTGCCTCTCATCACGAGTGCTATGTTTTACAACAAAATTGCTTTACGTTGAAGGTTTTACGATTGCAAAACGATGTTTCCTATGGGGGAATTTTGCTTTGCGATGATCGGTTCCTGCTTCGGGAACCGATTTTCAGCCAGCTGATCAGTTGTTTCAAAATGGCCGCCGGGTAAAAAACATGGCTCCCCCCTCTTTTCTGGGACGGATTCCTCGCTGCACAGGCAGTGAAAATGGCCACGCTATGGAGGATCTTCGCTGGATGGTGAGTTTTAAGCCCCTAGGAACGCATTAATCGGGTTTTAATGCGTTTCTATGGGCTTTTTAATTTCGCGTTACGTTTTTGTTCTACAGCGATTTCGCTGGAACTAATTAACGTTGTAATGCGAGGCACCACTGTAACTCATTCTTCAGGGCCCCAGCTGCGTTCCACGAATCCATGGTCCAGCCTGCCTTCCCCTTTTTGGTGTTACCCAGAGTTCCACGAATCCATGGTCCAGCCTGCCTTTTTGGTGTTACCCAGTGCTACCTCGTGCCTAGGGTAGTCTGGTCAGCACTATTCCATTTCCTCTTAGGGTCTCGGGGACAAAGCCTGAAACCTAAATATTGTCTTTTACTTAAGCCACCTTGGGTCCTTTTTTAAGGAGAAAGGTGCGTTAAAAATAAATGTCTATATGTAGTGGCAACAGCTAATTAACGCCTGCATTTTCTTATAGGTGAAATGTAAGCCCAAAGTGGGATATATGAAGAAACAGCCAGACATTACAAATAACATGCGGGCTATTCTTGTGGACTGGCTAGTAGAAGTTGGTGAAGAATACAAGCTACAAAACGAAACGTTGCATTTGGCTGTAAACTACATTGACAGATTTCTGTCCTCCATGTCTGTCTTGAGAGGGAAGCTTCAGCTTGTGGGAACTGCTGCCATGCTGTTGGCATCGTAAGTCAATTCAATAGGTTTGGCTCTAACTTTACTTTGAAACTTTAGCTTCTGCCTTGTGGAGGTTGAGAAACAAGCTCTCCAGCTGGATTTTACAGAAGATGGGGCAGATTGTTCAGGGCTACTCAGGTGCAATGCTGACAATTGTATTAGAAAGGCGTTTTTGGGAAAGCTTTTTTATGTATTCTGCTAGTATTGCAGAAACTTAAATGATGCTTGGTTTGTTTAAAACAGTTGGCCCCTCAGATATCCTTGGACTACAACTCTCATCAGTGCCTGACTGTATAACTAGTGGCGAGAGTGCACAAGATGGTGTCTGGATGGCCACATGTTCTAGATTTCTGGTACTTTAAAATTACCAGTTGAAGCACCCAGTAAACAGATTTGTCTTTTTCTTATTACGTTTCTACTTTGCCTTTCTACTACAGAGTAGTGTTTGCCTATTTTCCTAAATTGGTGTGATTAATAAAGTACATGGAAGTAGCAAGAATACGTAGGTTAGGAATAAAAGCCAGCAGTGCTGACTAAATTTACTAATCTAATGGATTTGTGGGGAGAAACAGGGCTTCATGGTTATCATTTCTACAACAGTGCTTTTCTTCCTACTGTAGAAAGTTTGAAGAAATCTACCCTCCTGAAGTTGCAGAATTTGTTTATATCACTGATGACACTTACACAAAGAAACAAGTCCTCAGGATGGAGCACTTAGTTCTGAAAGTCCTGTCATTTGACCTGGCAGCACCTACAATAAACCAGTTCCTTACTCAGTACTTTTTACATCAGCCAGCTAGTTCCCAAGTAGAAAACCTGGCAATGGTAAGACATCTTTTCAGACTGTGTCTGTGTAAGAAAAATACTTATACAGTGGTGTCTCGCTTAACGAGGATAATCCGTTCCAGCGAAATCACTGTAGAGCGAAATCCTCTTTAAGCGAAATAAAAAATCCCATTGAAACGCATTGAAAACCTGTTCAATGTGTTCCAATGGGCTGAAAACTCACCGTCCAGCGAAGATCCTCCATAGGGGCGGCCATTTTCGGTGCCTATAAAGCAAGGAATCTGTCCAAAAACAAGGGGAGCAATTTTACACAGCAGGCGGCCATTCTGAAGCTGCCGATCAGCTGTTTTAAAAACATCGTCTAGCGAAAAATCTCTTTCCGAAGCAGGGAACCGATCGTTGGGAAGCGAAATTTGCCTATTACAACATCATCTTTAAGCGAAATAAAAAATCCCATTGAAACGCATTGAAAACCTGTTCAATGTGTTCCAATGGGCTGAAAACTCACCGTCCAGCGAAGATCCTCCATAGGGGCGGCCATTTTCGGTGCCTATAAAGCAAGGAATCTGTCCAAAAACAAGGGGAGCAATTTTACACAGCAGGCGGCCATTCTGAAGCTGCCGATCAGCTGTTTTAAAAACATCGTCTAGCGAAAAATCTCTTTCCGAAGCAGGGAACCGATCGTCGGGAAGCGAAATTTGCCTATTACAACATCGTGGTTTTGTTGTTTAACAAAGCAATCGTTAAGCGAGGCACCACTGTAGAGCTGGGGGGATGAGCGGGTTACACCTCTGGGAACAGGTATGAAATCTTGGTTCTTGTAGGCTAGAAAAGTAATGTTTTCCAGCTGTGTTGAAATTTGAAAATATCTTTAGCCCCCCCCCCCAAACAATTGTTTAGGTTTTTGTGAGTTTATATGGCTTTTGTGGTCTTGATAGTAGTAAATACCTGGCTCGATAGCTCCATGGTTTAGGGGTCTACCTGCAAAGCCAGAGGTTGGGCGTCCCATTCCCCACTGTGCCTCCTGGGAGAAGAGTCAGTCTGTGCATCCTTAGGCAAGCTTCACATTTCTAGGGCTCCCCCAGAAGAAAGGAATGGTAAGTCACTTCTGAGTATGCTCTACCTAGAAAATCCTGGAAAGGGTCGCCATAAGTAGAAATCAACTTGCCAGTATGTAGTTACTACTGTTATACTGTAGTAGTAAATGCCACTAGAAGTAAGAGTAGAAACATGATCTGAGAGTAAGAGGCATTATTTCCTGTGTGATTCACATGCCATCACCACAACCCTGGAAGAACTCTGTTTCAGTGACATAGCGCTGAAGAATTATCTAGCGTTAAGAGAATGTAATTTCTTCAGCTGGAGCAGGGTTTGCTTGCTGGAAAGGTTTTTCCTCTATCCCACCTGGTTCAATGGATGACAGGCATCTGCAACCTTAAAAGGGTCCTGCTCCCTTGTATTTTTCTGTTGCTGCTACCCTTTACTTCAGAGCTTATCCTCACTCTTCTTTGTCAGCTAGATGGTTTCCCTGGATTTAAATTGTGGCTTGCAGCCAGCAAAAATGCAGGGGGGGACTTTTAACTGGTATCCCAGATAAAACTTTAAGGCCTATCAGGTTTGTAAACCATGAATGGTCTTGTTAAAAGGCTCAGCTTGTATAATTTGATCAGGGAAAATGTATTAAGGTATGTTAGTGCCAGAAAATAAGTTAAAATGATGTTCTTTTCCTACAGTACTTGGGAGAATTGAGTTTAATTGATGCTGACCCATATCTGAAATACTTGCCATCAGTAATTGCAGCAGCAGCATTTCATATAGCAAACTATACCATTTCTGGGAAAACATGGGTATGTATAAAAGCACTTGTCCCTCCTATATATGCGTTGTGACAGGATTTTTCCCCCAGCCTGCCTTGCCTTTCTTGGCACAGAGATAACCTTTGATAGGGCTCGCTCTCTCCCTCCTGTTATACAGACCACTTGAGCTGAATCAAAAAGCAGCTGGGAAAGAGGCTTGGGTAATCAGGCCCTCCTTAGGTAGGCCTTCCTGAAAAGATTTCCCAACAGCTACACTGATGTGGTTTGGTTTGGGTTGTGTTTTTAGCACCAGATAGAAGTCTCCATCTTCTCAGACTGACAAAATGTATACTATTGTCTTATGGTTAACTATTATCTCTTGGAATTATCGTAAATGACAGATGTTGGTAAACAACGGACCCTGGAGGAGGCAAGCAATCTTCTTGTGCTTGGAACACTAATTATCCTATACCTTGAACTGAATACCCAATAACATCACAAGCTTTTACTGTGAAATTGCTCAATTCTACAATAGTTACTCAAAAGAAGATTTGTTGAGGTCCATAGGTTCACAGGCTTCAGCTTCTAGCTGCTCTCTGCTGAGAACCTCAATGGTATTTCTTCTGCGTTAGAATATTTCCCTAGCTGAGGTGTCTCACTGTTCATATTTCTCCAGTTTCATAAATGTTCTAAACCTGGGCTAGCCAGATGTTGTTGGACCGCAGCTTCTACCAGCTCTAGCCAAGACTGGGCTGCATTTGCCCAGGACTGCTGTAAGCTCTGACCTCTGATTCTGAGCATGTGCCACAAATTCCTTCTGTGGTGTTGTGGGGGAAAAAATAAACCCTCAGGGAGACAAACCTAGATCAGGCAGTCTGTGCTCTTGTGGCATAGACGCGCGTGGCAATCAACCATACGGCAAATAAGTAGTAGTTTCCAAGCAGGACAACAGCTCCCTTTTGTATGAGGCCACAAGAAAGGGGCGAGTAAATACCTGGCATTTCTTTGGCAGACGGACTCTCTCACTGAAGTGACAGGATACACACTTGAAAATCTTAAGCCTTGCCTCGTGGACCTCCATAGAACCTACTGCAGAGCAGCACAGCATACTCAGCAGTCAATACGAGAGAAATACAAGGCTGTAAAGTAAGTATTGGGTCCAAACTGCTGCTAACTGCTGGATTTCCTTGGGAGTAATTCTTATACAAATATAGCTGATAACTGGCTGGAAGCTGTGCCGGAGAGCAGATATGAGAGTTCATGTAAATTCTTTCTTTTTCAGGTACAATGCGGTATCACTCATTGACCCGCCAGAGACACTAAGCCTGTCATAACAATCAAACTAAGACTTGACATCTCCAAGGTGTATATTGCCCAGAGCCGCAAATGTACAGTTTTAAATTTGTATTTAGGCTTCAATCACTCTGGTATATTACCATAGAAAATTAAGGATTTTTTTTACTTTTATAATGTTTTAATGTAAACTTTTGTACATGCAATCTTGTTCTAAATGCTTAGATGGAGCTTCTTTAAAGTTCTGTTGAAACAGACGTAAACCATGCAGGCAAACCACTCAAGTGTCACTGTTCAATCTTTTTTTAAAAACAACCAACCAATGAAGAGCAGAGTATGTGAGGATTTAGATTCTAAATGGCAAATCAAGATAGTCCATTAGAATAAATCTGCATATATGAGAACAAAGGTACAGCCTCTCTGCAGACTCCATGTATAGTAATTTGCAACAGTATATTTGGAAAAATCAGCTAATGCCTATTAAGTACAGGAAATGAATTTAATGGGGTCCTTCCTATTGTCAACGGAGAATCCTACGTGGCTGATATTCACTTGAGCCAGTTGTGAACAGCGGTAATGCCTCTGAGTCAGACCTCTTCTGGACTACAGTCACAGTCCCTGGATTCTCTCAGAATGCTGGGCATTGTCATCCAAAAAAGTAACTGTTCCAAGATCTGTCCTTAAGATATGCTACAAATATTGCTTTTAAAAGATGATGTTAATAGCTTTTGATGAAACTGATAGCAACGGAGTCTGGGACACAAGGGGAATTGATTATTCATTAGTAAATAGTGTACATGTGAGTCAGTTAAGAGATGAGCACCTCTATCATTACAGGAACTTTACCTTGATTCAAGTAGAGAACCTCTGTGGGTAAGAGGTTCTGCCCTTCAGATTCCTCCTTTTCCGCTTGTGGGAGAGTGACGAATGAGAAATGGGGCAGGAGTAGGCTCTCCCCTTGACTTACGTCTATACAATTTGCTAATATATAGAATACGGCTGAAATCCTCTTGTAACTGGTTGGCTGCAGGTTGCTGTTACTTTGGGGAAGCTGTTCCTGCCTTGTTCTCATTGAGGTCATGAAGTGGGGCTGAGCTTGTTACTGACCTACAGACATATGCATGGATAGAGGTACTGCATAGCTCTTAAGTTGCACATCAGGGTAATTTTAGTAATGTTTTGGAACCCTGTGTCTCAGATACAGCTGGACAAGTTCCCTAGGATGGGCAGCTCTTCAAAGTTATTTTTGGTATAGTTGTGTATGCTGAGGCAGGGTTGAAAAGAATAGTGGGTATCTTGTACAAAACTAAATCCTAGTTTAAGGTTTTCTATATTGTATGGGCTGCTTTTATATTCATAGAGTGGAATTCTTGTAAACAAGACTAATGCTGCTTGATACAATGTGCTCACAGTAAACCAATGCATGGAAAGACCGAACTATAAACCATCTTGAAGCTGGTCAATAAAATCTGTAAGGAAAGGATTTGGTCTCAGTAGTGATTTACTTTCAAGGAGCAGATTTGATTAGTACTGATATTAAGTTCTTAAATGTTGCTCATAAGGATGTCATTGTGATGGTTTGTACACAATTACATTCATGTGTTATCTGCTAGTGGTTAGAGCTGGGATGGGCAAAGAACATCTTGAGGTGATGTTGAACTGCAATTTCTGTGCAGCCCTTGACAGCATAGCCACTGGTGAGGAACACTGTTATCTACTTCTTACAAGTAGATAACATGCCTTGTTAGTTAAAAGAGAAGCCAAAGATGTACAAGATTGTGGGTTTAGGAGAGTGGCTTGAAAGGGAAGTTAGATTGTAGGCAGCCATTTTCACAACACAAGAGATTCTTAAAGATGAATTTAGAAACTATTCCCTTTCTGCCCACAATTAAAGGGGGGGAATCTTAATGACAATAGGCTTCAGTTTTTGCTTTTACCCTTCTTATCCCCAATGAGGGAAGGCTTGCTTTAATAAAGGTAGAACTTTAGTGCTGTGGCTGAAGATGAGTAAATATTTTCTCTCCCATCAGCAGTCCCCTTTAGTAACTCAGTATTGATCCCCATAGAGCAAAGCCACTTTCAAGCAGTACTCAGATAATACCTGAATCAAACACTTGAAAAGAAAAGTATGCAGTTGAAGGCACAAAGCATCTGCCAGGAAAATGTGCAGAAAATTCCAAGGACTGAGTTTGTGGATAAAGATATCTGGAAAAATGTAGAGCTCAGACACTACTTTTTTAAAAAAACTCAAATATGTGAGCTATTGGTAAGCAGTTACTTTAAACTGTAACTCCCATCCCTATTTAGAACTATTTCTAAATCCAAAGACATTCCTTTAGCTCCATTCTATTAAAACCAGTTGTAAGAATTAGTTTCAAGATGAGAGCCCCCATTGCAGATGGACTTTGATCTACCCAATCCTGGTTTGGTTTAGTCCATCTATGTATGAAGGTAAGTGCCATCTATTAAGTAACTTACAGCATTAAATGCCTTGTGGAAAGAAATATTGTGGATTGTTAATACAGTGGAGCCTCACTTAGTGACGTTAATCTGTGCAGGAAAAAACCTTGCTAAGCGATTAAAAAAAGCACATAGAAACACATTAAAACACGTTTAATGCATTCCCATGGGCTTAAAAACTCATCTTATGCGAAAATCCTCCATAGGGATGGCCATTTTCGGTGCCTCTAAAGCAAGGCAACACAGCGGGTGGCCATTTTGGAACCGTCGATCAGCTGTGCGAAAATGGGGCCTTTGGGATGATCACGGGGGAGCGCTTCCCCACGATAATCCCAAAAGCCCCGCTAATCAGCTGTGCTTCGGCTCTCCACCCCTCGCAGCTCCAGCCTCTGCAGGGAGACTGAGGGGTCTTTCTCGGCCAGGGTGGCAGCGGCGGCGCCTCAGTCTCCCTGCCGAGGCTGGAGCTGCGAGGGGTGGAGAGAGTGAGCGAGCCGAAGCACAGCTGATCAGTAGGGCCTTTGGGATGATGGCTTCCCCGTGATCATCGCAACCCTCCGCCAATCAGCTGTGCTTCGGCTCTCTCCACCCCTCGCAGCACAGCTGATCGGCGGGGCCTTTGGGATGATCGCGGGGAAGCGCTTCCCCATGATCATCGCAAAGCAAATTTTCCCCATAGGGGCCATCACAAAGCAATCGCTCTTGCGATGGCAAAAAGTCCATCGCAAAGCAATTTCATCATAACTCGGAGCAATCACTATGCGAGGCACCACTGTAAAAGCATATGAATAAACTGCAAAAAATCTTTTAGTCTGTCTTGTATAATTTGCAAATGGTCAACTTCAGCTGATTCATTCTTCCCAAGACTGTTATTCTACTTATCCCATAATCACTGCTTAAAATTAGTTAAGGCTCTGAATTTTCTCACCACAAAATAGTGAGTACTTTCTGTATGTGAAGTACACATGTGGGCAGGCACCTCTTAGCTGCATCTGCAGAGCTAGCACATTATGTTTTGTCAGAAAGTACGAGACCTTCCATATTCCTTATTCAAGCTCAGAGAAGCACATATAAGAACAAACATAGCAATGCATGTATGACCAAATATAAGAAGTCTGTATGGATTTTACAAAAGTTAGAGCACCAAGAATTATTTCAGTTCAACTTTATGGTCAGCTGCTGCTTCCTTTCATGGTCAAGCAAACAAAGTGCATCAGACCGTCAATGAAAGTGGGACCAGAATATCCAAGGGTTTATTAGAAAAAGCTATGTACAGACAAGCACACTCAGGAAACGGTGTCCCATTATAACTCTCCAATAACAGACACAAAAAGGCTGGTTTTGAGCAAGAAACTTTCAATGTACTGTACAAAAACAAGATGGATTTATTTGGCAGCTCTTTTCTTCCTTTTTTTGCCAACTGGTTTTTTATTCATGTTCTGTTTGTGGGAAGCCTCTGTTCTGTAGTAGGAAAAAGAGATTTTTAGTATACATAAAATTATTCTTTTAAATCTGCTTCATCAGAATGGTCTGTAATATTTTAAATTTCACTTAAGTAAACCAAGCATATATGTTTTTATGATAGAGGTGAAACAAGAGGCACAGACCTATACATGCATGCTATCCTTAGTGCACCTACATGCTTTCTTCATCCTTACTTGGCAGAAGACGCAACTGATGACTGTGAACAGCAGTGAAAAAGTCCAGTCAGAGCCCCTTTCCTTGGCACTACTGTCAGTGCCTTTAAGGGCAACCTCTTTAAAGATCTACTGACAGGCACACACTAAAGTCTTCAGAAGGCTGAACTTGCCACGACTAATCCATTTCTCCAGTCAAAGAATATGGAGCTGCAGGATACATGCTGTCTTATCAGCAGTTCTATAGAACACCACACTCTTGGTGCCAGAATTAACACATGCTAACAGTTTTCCTGGGATAGGAGAGCTCAAGAGGAGGATTATGCCTTCACCAGCTGGGGGACTGAGGGCCCCAAGGAGATTGCTCCTTGCCCCAAATAGTTTCCAGTCAAGAGGAGACCATGGGTGCTGTAGCCTGAAACTCTTAGTATCAGCTTTATTCCGTCTTTTTAATTCCAGCTTGCTAATTAATGTTTGTATGTTATACAAATGCCTACTTTTTATCCAACCTGGATAATAAACTGCTATAGACTGCATGGGTGCTGTAGCCTGAAACTCTTAGTACAGTATCAGGTTTAATTCCAGCTTGCCAATTAATGTTTGTATGTTATACAAATGTCTACTTTTTATCAAACCTGGATAATAAACTGCTATAGACTGTCTAGCTTATTGTGGTCACCATGCTCTGGGAAATGTTGGCTTTCTCAAAAATGCTTAGGAAAGAGGCCGGCAATTCTTTCATTTGTGCTCAGAAAAGAAACCATGGAGATCTCCCACCATGTGGCAGACACTTTTTCCTTTCTTGTTTCTCTTACGGGCAATTGTACATCATGGCTTTATTAACTTTATAAGTGGCAGTTCTATAGGGATGTGGTGGCGCTGCAGGTTAAACCGCAAAGCCTCTAGGCTGCAAGGTCAAAAGATCAGCAGTTCGAATCCACACAGTGGAGTGAGCTCCTGTCGCTTGTCCAAGCTCCGGCCAACCTAGCAGTTCAAAAGCATGTAAAATGCGAGTAGGTAAATAGGGACCACAAGAGTGAGAAGGTAATGGTGTTCCGTGTCTAGTTGCGCTGGCCACGTGACCATGGAAACTGTCTAAGGGAAAACGCTGGCTCTATGGCTTGGAAACGGGGATGAGCACCGTGCCCTAGAGTCGGACACGACTGGACTAAATGTCAAGGGGAACCCTGGCAGTTCTAAACAAAAATATTGCTGCACTCAAAACCTTCCAGATTCTTCAGATTGTAGGTTGTCTTCTACTTCCTGCACTTTTTTCATTTATTTTACAATAAAAGCTGTAACAATCAGGCTTTCTTCATTCTCATATGAGCAAAGTATTCTAGCTTTTAAAATTTTGTAAGTTTTATTATTTCTTTGTCTTTATTCATTTGTCTCAATATTTCTCACACGGATCAAGCTCTTGCTCCAAAAAACTCCTGACATCCTGTGGAAATTCTATACTTCAAATGCTTCTTCTGCCTTTTCTATAGTTGCTTGTGTAGTTTGCAGTTCTTGCTATGCAGCAGAAGCAAGAATGCTTCCTTTTCTGAAGTGCTCACAAACTCTAGAAATGAGACCTTCAGGAAAGATGCTTTGTTTGGTGTTGCATGCTCTGCCCACCAGAGAGGTGGAAGCATTTCCACCAGTAAACATGATCAAGGATTCCAGACATGTAGTTCAAAGGCCGATCTGAACTTTCTCTTGCACCAACCATCTTTTATGCCAAACATAATCCAGGAGCCTGTTATTGAGGTTACCTGTTCTGTGTTATTTCTGGCTCTAGAATAACAACTTCTTCTTCACTGTCGGATAACACAATGGTCTCATCTAGAAGACACAAGAAAATTGTTGCTTGGTATCTCTTTTCCGAGGACTGGTATATACCATGCATGCATATGATTCAGTCCAGTCCTATTCATGTCTTCTCCAAATTAATTAATAAACAGTCCTTCCTCACTTTGATTTTCTATACCAGTCTTCATATTTCTGGCACTGGTTAGTCAGGCCTGAAAAGGTTCCACACAATCTGGAAGTTCCACATGATAAAACTACCTGCTCTAGTAAACATGGAGACAGGATACCATGTGTGTGTGTCACTTCAAACATATAAGGCAGTACCTGTGCTATACTTTAGTTTCAAAACTGCACATCACTATAGTTCTCATAAATATGTTTCAATTCCTAAATGCTACAAACTTTTTCCTTCAACTGCAACACCAGGCAGGGAATGGAAAAACCAGATATTCCAGACAGACTGGAAAAGGGTTCAGTCAGAAAAGCTGCTTCCCATCTTCCTGTAAAAACATTCAAAACTGCATTCTTCCACCTTGCTACACATTTAGCTATCTCATTAACTGTTCTTTTTTATCTAAAATTATGCAGCAGATCAAAAGACCTATGGAAACAAATCTGTAACTTAATCATTCTTTTCCACTTTACTTAAAATCTTTTCAAACCCTGTATCGTTTAACAAAAACAAAAGAGATACTAACCTTTCTGATTTCCAGCAGCAGCACCTCCAATTTCCATATCCTGGTCTTCTGCTGGTATACGTTCATCCTGAGCAACTTCATCTTCCTCCTCTTCTCTTTCAGATCCCTCAAAATCTCCCCATGAATTTTCAAGGCCTTCTCCAATCTGGGCTGTGCCAGAAGTCCACAAAACAGGCTTGGCCAAACTAATTTCATTGAGGAAAACTACAAAAGTTATGCAAAATTCATTACAATATTGATAGGCTGGCTCAGGTATGTCCTTGATTTTGGGCCATAATTTGCTCTGTATTTTGAAAGAACAAAATTCCGCCCATCCTAAGTACTTTGTACAACTAATATGAGGTAAAGAAATATCTCTGACAGAAACGCTCTTCTGACAAATATTTAGCCAGCTAAATACACACTGATAAAAGGACAATGCATGATATTCCCTAGGATGCTTCTGAAAAATTGCAGTTTGCACAGTAATCGCGCAGCTGTTATCCATGTGTTGCATGCAGCTGAAGTACCCTCCTTCAGGGTCATGCTGAATCGGAATTCAAGGTTTGTTCAGCACTGCATGCCGTTTGTTTCCTACCAAGAAAAATACAGTACCCTGTTTCCCTGAAAACAAGACAGGTTCTTATATTATTTTTTGTCCCCCCAAATGCATGAGGGCTTATTTTCAGGGGATGTCTTATTTTTTTCATGTACATTTATTCAGATACAGTCATGTCATCTGGTTGCTGCACAATGGTGGAGGGCGGGCTTTCACTTAACTGGGGCATATTTTCAGGTTAGGTCTTACTTTAGGGGAAACAGGGTACTTCCAATAATGTACCAATTACTAATGAAACTATCTCAAGGTGAGTCAACACCACTACTCTGTTATGCAGTGCAAAAATATTTTTTTTAGATGACGTCTCTGCTCTTAAGCCATTCATGAATTTTTACATCTGAATAACATCTTCCAAGTCCCTGGTGCCTAGATGCTTGCTATACTGTACTGACAAATGCTTTCCCAAAGCTAGATACCTTGTGCTCCAATTTTATTCTTTTATGTTCTATTGTTCAAACAGCAGGGAGCCTTGTGAAACTGTGAACAGCAGCGAGTATTTGGCAAAAGCTAGAACCCATATGCTGACTTTCTCCCCACAGAGGACCTAAGGCGGCTCACAACAGCTAAGACTATACAACAATTTTAAAATAGTAAATAAATACTATATTAAAAACAAATTAAACATATATCAAGGTAAAAAACAAAATTAACAATTTTGAAACATTTAAAAAACATTTTTAAAAATCTCTAAGTTAAATAAACAAAGCATCCCTGAGGCACTGCTTAAAAGCCTCCCTGAGGAGGAAGGTCTGTGCCCGATGATGAAAAAACAAGGGGGGGGGACAACCCCACTTCTTGCAGCAGTACAAAGCTGGTCCTCTCTCACATCCTCTCCAAACAAGCCTGGGAAGGTAGTGGAACTAAGGGCCTCCCCAGAATATCTTAAGAGCCAAGAAGGCTCATATGGGGTGATTTTTGTTGTTGTTTAGTCGTGTCTGACTCTTCATAACCCCATGGACCAGAGCACGCCAGGCCCTCCTATCTTCCACTGCCTCCCGGAGCTGGGTCAAATTCATGTTCGTAGTTTCGATGACACTGTCCAACTATCTTGTCCTCTGTTGTCCCCTTCTCCTCTTGCCTTCACACTTTTCCAACCTCAGGGTCTTTTCCAGGGAGTCTTCTCTTCTCATGAGATGGCCAAAGTATTGGAACCTCAGCTTCAGGATCTGTCCTTCCAGAGAATACTCAGGGGTGATTTCCTTCAGAATGGATAAGTCTGTTCTCCTTGCAGTCCAGCACCACAATTCTAAAGCATCAATTCTTTGGCGATCAGCCATCTTTATGGTCCAGCTCTCACATCCATACATCACAACAGGAAAAACCATAGCTTTGACTATTCGGACTTTTGTTGGCAAGGTGATGTCTCTGCTTTTTAAGATGCTGTCAAGGTTTGTCATCGCTTTCCTCCCAAGAAGCAGGCGTCTTTTAATTTCATGGCTGCTGTCCCCATCTGCAGTGATCACGGAGCCCAAGAAAGTAAAATCTGTCACTGTCTCCATATCTTCCCCTTCTATTTGCCGGGAGGTGAAGGGACCAATAGCCATGATCTTACTTTTTTTTGTTGAGCTTCAGAGCAGTTTTTGCCCTCTCCTTTCACCCTCATTAAGAGGTTCTTTAATTTCTCCTCACTTTCTGCCATCAGAGTGGTATCATCTGCATATCGGAGGTTGTTGATATTTCTTCTGGCAATCTGAATTCCAGCTTGGGATTCCTCCAGTCTGGCCTTTCACATGACGTATTCTGCATATAAGTTAAATAGGCAGGGAGACAATATACAGCCTTGTCGTACTCCTTTCCCAATTTCAAACCAATCAGTTGTTCCATGTCCAGTTCTACCTATTGCTTCCTGTTCCACATATAGATTTTACAGGAGATAGATAAGATGGTCAGGCACTCCTATTTCTTTAAGAACTTGCCATAGTTTGTTGTGGTCCACACAGTCAAAGGCTCTTCCGTAGTCAATGAAGCAGAAGTAGATATTTTTCTGGAACTTTCAGGCTTTCTCTATTAATGTAGCGCATGTTAGCAATTTGGTCTCTTCCTCTGCCCCTTTGAAATCCACCTTGTACTTCTGGGAGTTCTCGGTCCACATATTCTGAAACCTGCCTTGGAGGATTTTGAGCATAACCTTGCTAGTCTGTGAAATGTGTGCAATTGTATGATAGTTGGAGCATTCTTTGGCACTGCCCTTCTTTGGGATTGGGATGTAGACTGATCTTTTCCAATCCTCTGGCCATTGCTGAGTTTTGCAAAATTTGCTGCCATATTGAGTGCAGCACCTTAACAGCATCATCTTTAAGATTTTAAATAGTTTAACTGGAATGCCATCACCTCCACTGGCCTTGTTGTTAGCCAAGCTTTCTAAGGCCCACTTGACTTCACTCTCCAGGAGGTCTGCCTCAGGGTCAGCAACTGCACTATCTGGGTTGTCCGGGACATCCAGGTCTTTCTGGTATAATTCCTCTGTGTATTCTTGCCACCTCTTCATGATGTCTTCTGCTTCTGTGAGGTCCCTACCATTTTTGTCCTTTATCATGTCCATCTTTGCATGAAATTTTCCTTTAATATGGGGTGATATGATCCTTCAAATAGCTTGCAACCAAGCATTAGTCTTTAAGGTCCCACTGTTTGCTATTCTTCATAAATAAGTTTCTGTGTTGATTATATGCTCCTCAGATGTCAAAAGCTAGGTCCAAATGTTCCTCAAGACCTCTTTCCCCACAACCTCTTTACCCCCTCTAGAAACAAACCTACTGACCTAGGCTGTGTGGTTGTTTTTTTAACTGGCCTCTAGAGTGTATTTTCAGTAAAAATATTATTTGAGAAGAACAGAGAGTAAAGGTTATGGGAATGTGCTCCAAGTTCCAGGGACAGGTCTGTGCGGCCCCAGAAGTCTGGAGACTGTTCACCTCTGTGTAGCTATTAGCATGAAAGATCCAGAGTTGTAAACATTACAATGGGAAATCTTCATTTCATTTTAAGCTGTGCTTTCCCTCTCCAAGTCAAGAAAAGTGATTTTGTCTTAAGTGTTTGCATTGAGAATAATAACACAACCCCTTGTATGGTGCAGTAAAAAGGATACACTTCTGAGGGAGGAAATGCATTTGCAATTATTTCTTCTGCTTGCACTTGTACATCTTTAGTATCAACTGGAGCCTCTTCTATCTTAAAAGCAGTTATTCTCTGGTTAGGAATGGATTCTGCAAATCCACATTTCCCCCCTTCTTTCCTATTAAAAGAAAAAAATCCTTTATAAACCTAAGTTTGCATCAACATCTTAAACAGTTCATAGGTTACACACACAAAAACCCTGTTTCTTTCCAGATTTTATTTTACATCTCATTTTTAAAAATATGACTTCTATCACTGAAGTGGCTCAAAATTTATACAATTAATATTAGTCAATTAGAAAAGTAAATAAAAGTAAACCAACATAAAATCATGCTTGTGTATGTGTGTGTGCATGATTCAAAGATGGGAAAGTCTTTCTGGATTGTCAGAATGCATCAGCTAGCACAACTGTATGCAGAGTGGATAAAAATTATTGATTTTTAAAAATTGAATTGATTTAAATCACTGTTCTTTAAAATATAAATTCCAAAAACAATTCCAATTTTTAAAAATATAAATTGTGATTTTAAATCAATTTGATTTAACATACATTGACCCTGGCTGTATGTAATCCAAAAAAATAACTTTTCCATTTTTTGCTTTGACCATAATTAATAACACAAATAAACTCATAACTGCCCTTTAATTATGAGCACTGGGGCTGGCTAAACTAAACAGCAGGCTGAACTGTTGTCACCCAAGAATATCTGGAGTAAATAAGAACAAAGTGCAAAGATGAAAACCAAGGTGACCTGGCAACAAGAGAACAAAGTGAGGTGCACTGATGAAATGCGGAGGAGACTAAGATGCTGCCCATATATTTTATACAAAATGTGACTTATTAAGTTTATAATTTGCAATCTACATAAATGCATGTATCATGACGAATTTCAAAACTCACCTAACTTTTTGATCATTTTCCAAGGCTTTCTGAATTAGCTCTGTGATTTCTGCTACTTTAACTCCTGTTATTTTGCTGCATCTCAGAACCTGTAGTAAATAAATAAAAACGGCTAACTTTTTTATTAGAGGTCAAATTTATTCTATGTCAGAGGCAGACAAGTTCATAAGATCTGGCAGAAGAAGAAATGGAACCCAGATACCCTTTTCCCCTGAAAATAAGCCCTAACCTGAAAATAAGCCCTAGTATGATTTTTCAGCATGCCTGCAATATACGCCCTACCCCAAAAATAAGCCCCAGTTAAGTGAAACCCTGCCCTCCACCACTGTGCAGCAACCAGAATATAAGATAACTGTATTTGAATACACGTAGATTGTTGTACATGAAAAAAATAAAACATCCCCTGAAAATAAACCCTAATGCAATTTTTTGCAGCAAAAATTAATGTAAGACCCTGTCTTATTTTCAGGGAAACATGGTATATGCCACAGTATATGCCAGGCAGCGAAAGATCAGTTCACAAAAAAATGACTAAGAGGACGGCAGGAACTGAGATCATAGCCTTGGTCTCAACACCATTTATAAGTCTTATGGGAATTTCTTGCCCTTTGAACATACAAAAATTAAACCTTTAAAACTATCAAAATGTTATGTAAAGAGCTTTAATCACTCATATTCTAAAATATGAAATAAAAACCTTTCATCACATTTAATTGATTTAAGTAAAGGTCAGAGTTATGCATTCTGTACAAAAATAAGCACCAGTGATATGTATCCATCGATTGCTGTACATCAAAGGTGGGCCAAGGTGGCCCTCCAGATGTTTTGGGAATGTATTTCCCATAATTCATCACTATTGGCTTGGTTCGCTAGTTTCTATACATGCAATCTCCTGCTTCTCACCCTGCCTCTATCACATACATACATTGTACACAACACACTGATCCAGATTTATACCTGTGCAAACATAAATGCCCTTCTGTTCATAGAAAGAACTGGGATGATCTAGTGGATGTTCTTCACTGGAGGTAGAGGGGAACAAGGCAATGTTTTTGTCCTACATCCTCTTTCCCCTGAAACAAGACACTGCACCCTATTCCAGACACTGGAGACCCTCCAGAACAGTCTGGGAAATAGAGCTGAGAACTATCAGTGAAAGGGGAATCAGAGAACAATTGCTATTCCATCTGGAGGACCATCCAGAGCTAAAAGAACTCTGCAGAAAACAATCTCAACCCAGCCTATTAATTTTGAATTACTTATTCAGTTCAAGTTACAGTAATAGAAATTGTTACCATTATACATGAAGAAAGAATCAACAAGCTGTGAGATACCGTCTACTCCTGCATGACGACAATTTAAGTCTTCAAGTTTATGTCTCCAAACACATTACCTGATCTTTCAGCAACATAATTCCACCGCTGGACTGAATTGTACAAATCTCACGGTGCTTATTCATGGCAATCACAAGGAGACCATCCATTACCCGCTCTTCCTGTTCACTGGGGTCAACTAATAAGTAGGTTCTAAAATAATATTAAGACAAAGAATAAGAATTCTATCTTAACAACAGGACATACAAGAAAATCAAAATAATTCAGTGGGATAGACAATATTAAACATAACACTTAATGCAGGTTTTATTTCTATGTATTTCACAAGCACATGTGCAATGTAGCATGGATTCTAGCAACACATGCTTAGGAAATACATAGAAATAAAGCCAGCATTAAGTATATAATTAATATAGAGACTATTCAGATGATGATAGTTTAACCATATTTTAGCTTTCTTTTCAGCTACTGTATCTATCTCCCCAAATTGTTCATATCACTGAAGATTGAGTGAAAGTCAGGATTAAAATGGTATATTATCACAATCTAAAGAAACCTTTCTGTAGTTTCTCTTTGGTGTATACATATCAAAACTCTATCAAAACTGGCAAACTGCTTTCAGACAGGGGAATGGTGGTCACTTACCCTTGTTGGAAAAAAGCAAAGCTTACACAAATAGGCATATGATGGATACTCAGAGGGACAGGATCCCGTTCCTCAGGGGTATACTGAAGAATCCAATAAACAACATTTAAAAAAATTTAATCAACTACATATATAAAGCAAAAAACAAACACTTCGCTGATAATATTTTTTTTACAGAATACTTTACTTCTAAGCTTACAAGAAAATCTGAAACCACCTTTTTGCACATTAAAGCAAATCAAACTTTTTAAATCACTTTTATTACTTATAAAAGAATTTGCAGGCCTTTAACGGGGCCAAGAAGAACATTATTACATTGAAAGGGTGTGGGCAAAGTATGGCCTTCCAGATGCTGCTATACTGCAATCCCTAGCATTAATCATCATTAGCTTAATGCACAGTCTCCTGCCACACAATATTGGTTATATATTTATCGGAAAACACTGTACCTTAATAAGACTAAATAAGGGATTCCTTGTGTTCTTACACCTGAATAACATATTCATACTTTTAATACTAAAGGTTACTTTATTTGCTGTCTTGATATGCAAAGGGAAACTACAAATTGGCAAACCACCTGGATTTTAGCTTTTTTTTAGTAGAGCTTGTGAAACTGAAGTCAACCAAGTACACAGTACATGCAAACATTGATCCCAAAGATAATTACCAGTGTTACTTCTTCTCCTTGCACAGACACATCTGGCCTCCGAAAGTGACACAGCGCCACAATTGCAGCTATACTTGCAGCATCTATAATATTTCCATTATGATTCAACACATGAAGGTCCACACGAATTTGCCACACCTTGGACAAGACAAATGATTTCAAATGTCTTCATACAACAGCAAAATATTGTCCGACATATGTGAGCCTAAACAGCTCTGCTATGTTTTGCCCAAATACTTTTAAGTTATAAACTATTACATGAGTATTGTGAACTAGAACAGTATGATTTTGAAGCAAAAGCCCAAAACTCATGGGAACATAATAGTGCACTTGCATGCATGTACATGCATACACAACCCTTCTAGTGTCTGGTTGTTTCTCAAAGATGAGTAAAACAGCAAAGGGAAATGTCTCTATGGAATATTTTCCTCTTGCTTTTTCAAACAACCAACACTATATTGCTGTAGGTGAGGGCAGAGTCACAGCAAAATAACCTTTATGGTTCTCTTTCATCAGGACAATGAACACAAGTATCTATATATAAAAAATCTTTGCTATACATAGTAGGACAGTTCATATTTCTTCAGAACTTTCAGCAAGGTTGTATATGAACTTTGGACAGCCAGCATGGTGGATAGAATGTTTGACAAGGGCTCAGGAGACCTGGGTTCAAATCCCATTCAACCATGAAAATTCAGTAGGTGACTGGCAAGAGTAAACAACTCACTGCACATCTACGTGTCTCAAAAACCCTCTTAGGGTTCTTGTAAGACAGAAGTGACTTGATGGCACATAATGATACATATGTACTCGTATATGGGTCTCATGTAATACATTGCTTAGAATTAGGATATTAAGAATTAATTTCAAGTCATTATCACCAATCATTTATTATTTATAGACACACCTAAAAAGGGTGACTCCTGACTTACAAGTTTTCTCTAGCATCCCCACTTTTACAAGCATTCCAATATGAAATAACACCACTTCTTCACATCCAAAACTCACTTATATGATTACTGTGACTGTAAACTAATATGTTTAGGTCACCAGATATAATGGCAATTTGGGAGGAGTCAGGGAGAATAGAGAAAATAGCTGCACTCAGAAAGGATGGCTCAGCAAGCAAAAAAAAAAAGAATAGAAGTATAAGAGAGAAATGAGAAAACAGCAGAAGAGTGCCCAACAAGCAAGCCAGATATACAGTGGTGCCTCACACAGCGAGGTTAATCCGTTCTGGATTAACCCTCGCTGTGTGAAAGCATCGTTGAACGGAACGTAAAAACCCATTGGAACGCATTAAATATGGTTTAATGCGTTCCAATTGGGCCGAATACTCGCCGTTCAGCGATGCTTCAGGATGGCCGGCAGCCATTTTCGTCCCCTCCCCTCGCTTTATGCATTCCAATATGAAATAACACCACTTCTTCACATCCAAAACTCACTTATATGATTACTGTGACTGTAAACTAATATGTTTAGGTCACCAGATATAATGGCAATTTGGGGAGGAGTCAGGGAGAATAGAGAAAATAGCAGCACTCAGAAAGGATGGCTCAGCAAGCAAAAAAGAGAATGGAAGTATAAGAGAGAAATGAGAAAACAGCAGAAGAGTGCCCAACAAGCAAGCTAGATACAACCTGGTGGTGAGGAAAGAAGACAGCCAAACCAAGGGGAAGGGTGTCCAACAAGGAAATTAGAAGGGAAGAGTGATAAAACAGAGAAGGAACATACCAGAAGCAGGCAAGAAAAGAGGAGACACAAGTGAGAACTGAGAAGGCAGCAGAGATTTCATTTATAAGACAAGTAAATCCTCTGAGAACCAAACCCATTTTAACACTGAGTCTAATCAGAAATAAGGTTCTGATTTACAGTGGCTGATTTTACAAGTGTGACCAGCCTAACCATCATCATCTTCACTTACAATTAGGCTATAACTGTTATATACTAAAACCAGAAAACCTAAGCCCCTCTCTTCAGGGGGCTTAAGTTTACAATCCAAAAATATAGTGAATCAGATGTAGACTTAATTATACTTAGAATGCTCCCACTGGCATCAGTGGGGCAAATTAGCCATACCTAATTTAAATCTGATTGGTTTCAATTGGCATATTCTAAGAATGGTTAAGTCTGGATTCAACCCATGATACAAAAAGGACCGGGGACTTTGAAAAACTAAGAACACGGCAAAAATAAATGTGTCAAAATAATTAATTACTATGTTCAATGACTTTACAGATAAAGAATATAATGAAGAAATAAATAAAGGACAGATTGAAAAACTTGATTATGGACATGTACAGAGAATAAAGGGGATAATTTTAAAAATAAAATCGATCCTGTAACAAGCTACCCATAAATTGTCATATTTCAGAATGTTCACAATCACACACCTTTTCACCAGCAACAACACAGAGAGATTCAGTATCTATGCACTTGGAGTTCCTTAGGCATCTTTCCAACAGCCGATTCAATTTTACAAGTAGCTCTGATTGTCTAGAATTAAAGAAAAAGTAGTAATAATAGAGAAAGTAAAACAATAGGGTACTTGGACTAACTATGTTTCTGACACTGTGGTGTGAGTCTCATACCTTCCCGGTTCAAATGCAGGTGAGGCCATAGGAGAGAGTTCAAGATTAAAAAAGAGTATGCCCTCAGTTGCACGATTTGGCTTTGGAGACACAAGTTCACAAGATACTTGCCCAAGAACTCTGTGAAAACAGAAAATATGCAAAACAGAATCTTTTAGAATACAGTTTCAATATATGTTTTTTAATATATAAATTTTAGGAAGAAGAATAAGGAACCATTTAAAAATGCCAATCTGAATATATTTATTTTTATTTATTTATTTTATTTATATCCCGCCTATCTGGTCGGATCAGGATCACTCTAGGCGGCTAGCAGCACATTTACATAGAATAATTAGTGATCACCTTGTGGTTTGTAGGTAGTATGTCAGAAAGTAACATGATGGGCAAAACTTTATTGCCTTACACAATCTTTTAAGTGATGTTAACCGTTTTCTCGGGTGTCACACATCCAGCCTTCCCTAGGAAATGCATGACTGCCCTTACACACAGGATTGTTTACAAGTGGTTTTTACCCTATATTTTTAAATTCCCTATAAAGCAGCAGATAAAGAAAAAAGAGAAGATAAAAAGGAATGTGAAACATAGAAACAGCCTTATATTAAGTCAGACAAATGGTCCGTCCACCTCACTGGATACACAGACTGGCAGTGGTTCTCCAGCATATCTGGCAGAAATCAGCCCTGACCTTATGAAGAAATGCTGGGGATTGAACCTGAAACCGTTCATATACAAATCATGTGCCCTACCCTTCCTTGCCACAGGATGTGGTGATGGCAACTGGCCTAGATGCCTTTAAAGGGGGAATTGGACAGATTCCAGGAGGAAAAGTCTATTGTGGGATACAAGTCATGATGGGGATGTATAATCTCCAGGCTTAAAAGGAAGGTATCTCAAAATGCCAGATGCAAGGGAGTGATATCAGGAGACAGGTATCTAGTTGTTTCACATGCTCCCAGAAGCATCTGGCGGGGCTACTGAGAGATACAGGAAGCTGGACTAGATGGGCCCTTGGCCTGATCCAGCAGGGCTCTTCTTATGTTATGTTGAGCTATGGCACTTTGCCAGCTGGCCATCTCTTGTTCCTTTCATCAAATGTCTCCCTTGCCAGTTATACTGAGTAAATCAACTTTATGGAAAGAAGCGGTTGAGTGGAAGGGGCACCAGTGTAAAGGGAATCAATTATAGATGGTTGCATCACCAGGCGCGAGATACCTAGTTTTCCCAAGCTCCACGATGCAGCAGCCATAGTCGGTACCAAAGGAAATGCGGAGGTTTCTGTAGTCATAGCACTGTCTTCCATCCAGGCGCTACAAAAACAGCAGAGCAGGATTTCAGAACTAATGCATGATACTAAGAGAAAAAAAAATTCTACTGAAATTGAGGTGCACAAACCTAACGCAAGGGTTAAAAAGCGCTTCAAAATTACCAGATTACCATAGCACACTTTCCAAGTCCAGCTTTTTATAGATAGGGATCTTGTGTCTTCAATTAGTTATGTAAGAGAAGGCAAAAGGCTCAGCTCTCCCTACATCTGTACTGTATCTCTTTAGCTATCATTTGGAGTTTTGCTATTAGGCAACTGTTAAAAACCCAGAAATCCTCTTTACTGGGAATATGTTATCAGTGAGCCCAAATTTGCTTCACCACACTGAGTTTTTCAGAGATGCCTCTTGAGGAGCAGTGGGCACTCATCTAAACGACATCTCCTCTTCCACTACCATCCCACTCCTCTGTCAGTCAAACAAGGTATTAAATACAGTACTTGCTTCTTCCATAATGGCCCTGCTATCTTTTCACCCCACAAAAACCAGTTTTCTTGGGATCATTTTAGAGCTGGCAAAGATGCCCCTCGTCCCTATTATATAGTTGAACACAAAATCAGTGGCGGTATCCCTTCCAGCCCTACAAAAACCGTGACCTCGGAGAAGAAATCTACCGTACAAGTGAAATAAGAATGTCATCAAAATATGTCTCGGTCCCTCCTGGACCCGGTTTCAAAAGGAGGCTGCCCGCACGTGCCGAGAAGACCGATGCGCGCTGGCCTCCGCGCCACATGCGCGTCCGTTGCGCGGGTCTAAAAACGCGACACGAGCCCGTCCTCTTATACCTTTCGCTCCTCGATCGCCCGCAAGATGAACCGCTTTTCGCAGTTCGACAGCGGCGTCTCCTTCATGGCTCGTGTTGTCGTCCCCACCAGCACCGACTCAGGGTTTGGAGCTGCCTCACCCTGGCAGCCGCCGCCGCTCTGATGACATCATAGACGCGCGACACGCAGGGAAAGCGCGGAGGTTTGAAACAGAGTCTCAAGGGGGAGCTTCCTTTCCCCTTAGCAACGGGGCTGCTCAAAGGAAGGAAAGTTGGAATAAGTGGGAATCGAGTCGCTGCTATAGAGTGTGTGTGAGCGTGACGTTTCTGATTGAGTGGCCATCATTTAAAAGGAGGAGGAGGAAGGAAGCTCTCTCGCTCGCTCTCTGTGTGTTTCCTTTTCTAAGAAATGTGCAGAACAGAAAATATCTACCTTACACATGCGAAGCATCGACCTGCAGCAGTTCTAAAATGTTTTAATAATGATGATGATGTTAGAACTGCAGAGCTGGAAGGGACCCTATGGATCATAAAGGCCAGCCCCTGAGGCACAGCGGGGAATCAAACTTTCAACAACTAAGTCACTGGACTCTTCTGCAGTTTGCTTCTTCTTTAAATCGCTCAAGTGATCGCTTTATATTTATGACTTATTCTGTGATAACTTTTTAAAACCCATGGAAACGGAGCTATAGTAGTGATCAGCGGAATTGCTTTCAAAGTTAAAAGATCCAGTAGCTATGTGAGTTGGTATCATAGATTTCTCGTGACAAAGGCAAGGGGAGGGTGCTCCTGGGTATGGCTTTGTGGGTTGGAGCTTCTGCAACCAGGAACTGGGAGGTTGAATCCCCGTTATATTTCCCAGGATATGGGCCAGCTGAGATCACTCAGAGGGAGGTTGAATCCCCGTTATATTTCCCAGCTGAGATCACTCGGGATGTGTGTGGCTCATAGGGTTCTGCTCACCTCTTTTTTTGTTTTAAATGTGCTGAAAGAGAGCTTTGTTCTAGCGAACAAGTGGGTCATAGATTAAATAAAGCCTGGAGATAAAAATGTTGAAACTGAGGCTATCCTACTTTGGGCATATCATGAGAAAGCAGGATTCACTGGAAAAGAAGGAAGGCAGCAGAGAAAGAGGAAGACAAAAGATGAGATGATGTGACTCCCTAAAAGAAGCTACTGGCTTGAGTCTGAAAAAGCTGAGCAGGGCGGCTGAGGACAGAACATTTTGGAGAGTGCTTATTCATGGTGTTACCATAAGCTGGAGGTGACTTGAAGGCACACAGCAACGACAATATGATTATGTACCCTGTCTCCTGTGATACCATGGGCAAGCTGCAGGCTCCTAGGGTGCTCAAGGCCAAAAGGAGTGGCTGGTAAACCACTTATATGTGCTCTATACTTGGAAAAGGCTGAGAAGGTTACAATAAATATGAATCACTTGATGGTACACAGTTATTCTTTATGTATGTCAGATGCTGTGTACGCTTGGACAGAACTCGAAAGAAGATGCTCATAAATGTGCTGTGATTCTTGCTAACACAATGCTGGAGTAGAAATACATACTTCTTCCATGCATCTTTCACACTCAGCATCTTACAGAAGCAAAAGTTTTCCAGAAAAAGAGGTGTGTAGCTTCCTGGTTGGTGAATAGGGACCTCTGGATTTGTTAAGGAAGCTTTGCTATAGTGCAGTATCAGTTATAATTTAATGCATCAAATAATCCAAAGGAGAGCATGGATAACTTTAACAGAGGTGTCTCTGTCCAGATAGTATAATACAGTGGTGCCTCGCATTACAATGTTAATTCATTCCAGCGAAATCGCTGTAGAATGAAAACACCGTAAAGCGAAATTAAAAAGCCCATAGAAACGCATTAAACCCTGTTTAATGTGTTCCGATGGGCTTAAAACTCACTGTCCAGCGAAGATCTTCCATAGGGCGGCCATTTTCGCTGTCTGTCTTGCGAGGAATCTGTCCCTAAACATAGCAGGGAGCCATTTTTTTTACCCGGTGGCCATTTTGAAACCACTGATCAGCTGTTGGAAAATCGTCGTTTTCCGAAGAATCAGTTCCCGAAGCAGGGAACCGATCATCGCAAAGCAAAATTCCTCCATGGGAAACATCGTTTTGCGATCGCAAAAAGTTCATCGTAATGCGATTTCATCGTTAAATGAAGCACTCGTAATGCAAGGCACCACTGTAGCTGGTTTGTTAGCTCAAGCTGATAAAATGTGCTTCTATAACAAGCCTAAGAGCAGCCTCAAAGTATGAGCATGATCTGTTAATGGAAATACACTACCCTCCAAAATAATTTGAACACCATTTAGCTGCAGAGACATTATTTTGGAGAGTAGTGCATTTCATATTCAAATGTCTTTTCTAGTTCTGTCTCCTTGTATTGGCTGTTACTCAGCCCATTACCATAGCCAGATTCTAATTCATCCACTCAGTCGACATCTATGAATAATTCTCCTAATAATTTCATGTAGATCAGGAATGAATGATTTGTGACCCTCCAAATGCTATCTACAACCCCCACCATTCCGTTGTTGTCTAGTTGTTTAGTCGTGTCCGACTCTTCATGACCCCATGGACCAGAGCATGCAAGGCCCTCTTCCACTGCCTCCCGTAGTTGTGTCAAATTCATGTTGGTTGCTTCGAAGACACTGTCCAACCATCTCATCCTCTGTCGTCCCCTTCTCCTCTTGCCATCACACTTTCCTAACATCAAGGTCTTTTTCAAGGAGTCTTCTCTTCTCATGAGATGGCCAAAGTACTGGAGCCTCAGCTTCAGGATCTGTCCTTCCAGTGAGCACTCAGGGTTGATTTCCTTTAGAATTGATAGGTTTGTTCTCCTTGCAGTCCAGGGGACTCTCAAGAGCCTCCTCCAGCACCACAATTCAAAGGCATCAATTCTTCGGCGGTCAGCTTTCTTTATGGTCCAGCTCTCATTTCCATACATCACGACAGGAAAAACCATAGCTTTGACTATTCAGACTTAGCAAGGTGATGTCTCTGCTTTTTAAGATGCTGTCAAGGTTTGTCATCGCGTTCCTCCCAAGAAGCAGGCGTCTTTTAATTTTGTGGCTGCTGTCTCAATTGTTCAGCAACCACATTGACCAGGAACAGTCTACATTTGTTGACTAATTCCATACTCTGGGAAAGGTTTATTCTTTTAAAGAGGAGAGTGCTATCCATATTTAAAAGACAAATCAGTGTTCTCTTGCATGCAACCCAACATTCCCTCCTATTTATATGTAGAAGAAAGAAAGATTAGTCATACAGATGGTTGACTGGAAGTGTCCAGGTAACTTCTTTTCCTTCTCAGGTTTCAACAACCTCAATGTACTGACAGAAAAAATATACAAGTGTCATATTTAATTACATATTCATGTTCAAAGATTGGATGGATGGCTCTTGTAATTAGCAAATCAAGTATTTTAATTGGATTTGGTTCTAGGGATATGAAAGGTATGATCTTGTTGGGATTTTGATCTCAAAATGTATTAAATATAAATGTTGTACTGTTTAGTGAAAGTAAAATGGCTGATTTTACCTGAGTCATGTACTGAGTGTATTCAGGTGTGGGTACCAAGGTTTAGGCATGCTGTACAGCTGTTGTACATGATGTAACTTTATGTAAGTAAAAAACAAAGTAATGTAATGTATTTTTCCTTGTATAAAACAACACAAGAATCACTCCCCCCTCCACTTTCTTGTGAAGAAAGTGCTTTCCCCCTCCACTTTCTTTGCAAAAAGCTGCTTTCCCCCTCTTAGACATGGGGGCGTCTTATACACGGAAAAATACAGTATTTTCTGATTGGTCCCAAGAATGTATATAAGTCATGTGTGAAGGGGAAATTTTATCTGCTGCCAGATCACTTTTTTATGCTATATATTGTACCATGTCATGTTATGCTGACGGATGTATATCTGTTCTTTCTGTATATATGTTAATAGACTAAGTTGGTATTTTACTCTCTCAGTGTTAGTGTCTTTGCAACCTGATATCTCCTAACTCTGCTTATGTGCTGAGAATACATATTTAACCCAAAATTCTCAACAAATCTGAGGAAGAATCTTCATGGAACCCATTATGTTGAGCTTAGTACTATGCTTGATTTTTATTATATAGTTATCCTTTCCCATTTTGTGCTGCTCATTTATATTAATGTGAAGGTTTTATTGTGTTTATCATATGATGTTAGCACTAAAAGTTGCTTTGTGATTTTTTTCATGTAAAATTCACAAAGCAACTTCGAGTGCTAATATAATATGAGAAATGCAATAAAACCATCAAATGTTTTTAAACAAATTGTTTATAACAGTGTTATAAACAAATTGCACACATTGGCATCATTCAAAAGCTGTCAAACAAATCTGTTTGCATATTTTAAAAAGTGCACTAAATCCATCAAAGTCCATCTTTCAATACATTTAACTCACATGTTTAATATGATAATCCGTGGGTGCCAACTTTCATTTGTCACCACTTTTACTCCTTATCCATGGTTGTATCCTGTTTCTAATGCAGCCAGAGTGGAGAAACCCTCACAGTGTTTAGCAGTAACAGGATTATGTCCTGAACTCTGATTTACATTTTAATGAATTTCTGTCTGCTTTCAGGATCTCAGTGATTACAATTTGCACAGTCTTCACTCATTGTACATAGATGTTAAAAAAGGAATATAGATAAATCTTAACCTGTCTTTCCACTTGCTTATTCAGGACAAAAGGGGGTTGACATATAATCTTCTGGTTCTGTTATTTGACAGACATTCTATAACATTTAGAATTTAATTTCACAGCTTCCTTGATTTATGACATATAATGTTAATGTGTTGCTTTTTTTGGAATATATTGGAAATATTAACTTATACAGGACAAGAAGATTAATTTTCTTTTAGCATAAAAATGGTAGGATAAAGTAACCTGCAAGTGGTTTAATATGAGATTAAATTTGATTTTGACATGTCATGAACAAGATGTGTGAGTTAACAGGAAATACTTAGATGAACACAACGGGTGTTATTTTAGACTAAATCTCAGATCCTACACCTGAATACAATGGGACATATCTCACTAAGAGGCACAGGGCAGAGCTTTAAATTAGTAGCTCAGTGGTTTGGGTATCTGGCTGTGGAGCTAGAATTTGGGAGTTCGGTTTCCCTGCTGTGCTTTTTGTGA